CACACACACACACACACACACACACACACACACACACACACACACACAGCAAGGCTCAGGGCAAGGGCTCAGGCCTGTACTGAGCTAATTGAGAGGCTGAGCCGGCAAGACCAGCCTGAGCAACCCAGTGACACCCTGTGCGCAAAACAAACAAGAAAGTGAAGTTCAGAGGGGGAGGGGTAAGTAGGGCAGCAGCGGGTAAAACCAAGTCCTCGTGGGGGGGGGGGGCTCGGAGGGCTCCCCACGTCCCCAAGCCAGCTCCACTGCCTGCGCTGAGTGTGAGAGGCCAAGCCTGGGGCCCAGCCCCTCGGGCCATCCAGGCAAAACCCAGGGTCAAGCCCTGAGGCTGTCAGCCACCCACCTAATTAAAGATATGCGCGTTAAATTCTGCTCCAAGTTACCATATAGTGTCCATTAAGCTAGGAAAAATGAATCCAGATGGCCAAAGGCGATGGCATTCCATTCCGCGGGGAGAGAACCCAGCACACATCACAGCGGACCTTAAGGTGGCCTCAGAGTTTCCAGAAACCAATAAAATGGCCCAACCCCTGGGACCCAGCACTGGCATTTGGGAACACGCCCTGAGGAAGGAGCCCAAAAGGAAACAAATAATGTGTCTGAAGTTGCCTCCTGCTAAATACTGGAGACATCCATGTCACCAAGAGGGTCCAGCTGAACCAGGGCAAGATGATAGGCAAGATCCCGTTTCTGTTCTCGCTGAGGCTCAGTCCAGACCTCCCTCACCCTCCTCCCCTTTAGGCCTTGGCCTAGGCTGTTCCCACCACCTAGAACACCCTTCCCATATGGCACTGCAGATTCCAGGCCTGGAGGACACACCGTATGACCCTAGAGCCCAGCACAGTGCCGGGCACCCAGATGACTCAGCAGTGTGACTGTGAGGGACCACGGTGGTGAGAGAGTAGAACCCCAGACATCTGATCATGCCTCTCATAACCATGTAAGGATTGCAATACTCAGAAAAAAGGCAGCTTCATCTTGGGAGAAGTCACTGAGACTAAAAATCCATCTTTGTATGGATTTGTATGCTGATGGTTGCACAGCTTGGCGAATATACTAAAAACCAGCAGGACATACCTGTAATCCCAGCAGTTTGGAGGCTGAGGCAGGAGGATCACAAGTTCAAAGCCACCCTCAGCAACTTAGTAAGGCCCTAAGTAATTTAGTGAGATCCTGTCTCAAAGTAAAAAAAAAA